CCCACTGCACAGCCCCCCAACACACACAGATCTCCCCACCCCCCACTGCACAGCAACCCCCCAGACCCACTAGAGACCTACTCTCCCACACCCTAACCCCCAGCCACAATACCCGGCCCTGATGGGAGGTGACTGTGTCTGCCAGGCTGAGCTGGCAGCGCAGCCAGAGCTTGTCCTGGGGTAGGATAACTCCGGCCCCTTGGGGGTGCAATCAGCCTGGCTGGAGCAGGAGCAGAGCCTACCCGGGCCAGGATCCCTCAGGACCCACATGCCTGGCAGGACCCAGCTGAGCCTCCCACATTCCCCCCCTCCCCCAGCCATCCTCTGTGATTGACTGAGACTGGCCCAGCCTCTGCACCAGTCCCAGGTGGCTCTTTCCCTGGGGACTCAGGTGGGGCCCCACAGGTCCCAGGCAGTGGAGACCGCTCAGAGCTGGAGCAGTGCTGGGGAATGGGGCAGATCCCTGGGACGTGACTCCACACCCATTGGCCCCGTGGCCAGCAGCCCTGCCGAGCCCACATGGTGGCCCCCAGCTGCTGGGTGATGAGCCCCCTACAGCAGCGGCATAGCCAGGTTCTAACATCAGGGATTTCTTGTATTATGTATAGTGAGTGTTTAATATAAAAATCAGGTAGTAGGGTTTACAATGTTATAACAAGAGATTATGCTATTATCATTATCCAGTCAACTTGCACACTACTATTTTGAATTAGTGATAATTCATAGAGAGAGAAAGAAGAAAGCTGAATTTAGAGAATAATTATTAACCATATTCTTGGTTATTCACCAGCCGCTTTGCTCCAGTCCATAGCACAAAGCACCATAAACCCAGTAGAATCTGGCCTAAAGAATATTCACCTCAAATTGGCATCTGCTACACTCCCCTCCCCCCCATTCCTAGTCACCACTATTCAGCAGGGCCGCCCGGGGTGGGGGGGCAATTTGCCCCAGGCCCTGAGTATGTCGGAGGCTCCCCCCGCCTCCGTCTTCCCCCATCCCATTCCCCGGCGTCCTGGATGCGGCACGCTGAGGCTCCGGGAGAGGGGGTAAGCAGCATCGTAAGGGAGGGGCCGGACAACCCCCTGACCCCATCCCCCCGCAGCCATGACCCCCAGCTCGGAGCCCAGCCCCTCTGAGCCAGACAACCCCCTGACCCCATCCCCCCACAGCCATGACCCCCAGCTCTGAGCCCAGCCCCTCTGAGCCAGACACCCCCCTGACCCCATCTCCCCACATCCCTGAGCCCAGCCCCTGTGAGCCGGGCACCCCCCAACCCAGAGCCCAGCTCCCCCTGCAGCCCTGGGCAACAGCAGCACCACCACCAGGCAGCGACAGCCCATTGGCACCAACCATCACCATCATCCAGCAACAGCCCATTATGTAATTGCAAATGTATACATATTAAAACATTTAATATTTTCAAATAATGTATTTAGTGTATTTTCAAATTATTACAAATTAATTTTTGAATGTATTTCACTGGTTATTTTTTACATTTCCAAATACATGTTACTATAGTATTGCAACTTTTATTTATGGAAGGGGCCACCGAAATTGCTTTGCCCCAGGCCCCCTGAATCCTCTGGGCGGCCCTGCTATTCAGGATATAGCTAAGTGAAAAGGTGGCATGTCTGAAGCATTTAGCAGGCCATTGAAAACTAGTATAGAGTTAGGTAGCCCTGAGAACATTCCTTAATTCTGAGCACTAGGTCTGCAGCTAGTCAGCAGTGAGATGCAGGAGACATAACTGGAACCTTAAAGCACCTTTACCCCTCTTTCCTTCACAAACTCCACTAAGCACAGTTTAGATACTGTATCTCAGGGGTAGGCAACCTACGGCACGCGTGCCGAAGGCAGGGCCGGCTTTAGGACAATTCAACCAATTCCCCTGAATCGGGCCCCACACCTAAGAGGGCCCCGTGCCCAAGCCCTGGTACGGCGTACCGGCAACAGCAGGTGCACCGTACCGGGGTGGCCCGGCTTCCCCAGGGGGCAATTTAAAGGGCCCAGGCCGTTTTAATTGCCACCAGAGCCCCACTGCTGGAGCCCTGGGGTAGGGCTGCGGGGCTCTGGGGGCTATTTAAAAAGTCCAGGGCTCCCGCTGCCTCTACCACCCCGGTCCTTTAAATAGCCGCTGGAGCCCCCCTGCTTCCCCAGGGCTCCCACGGCTAGTTAAAGGGCCAGGGCGGTAGAAGGAGGGGAGCCCCAGGCCCTTTAAATAGCCCCCAGAACCCTGGGATAGTGTGGGGCTCGGGGGCTATTTAAAGGGCTGGGGCTCCAGCTGCCTCTGCTACACCCCCTGCCCGCAACCAGCCCCGCACCCCCTGCTTCCCACAGCCCCGCACCTGTCTCCAGCCAGCCCTGCAGACCTGCCCGCAGCCAGCCCCTGCTGCACCCCCTGCCCTACCTGCACCAGCCCTGCACCCCCTGTCCTACCTGCACCAGCCCTGTCCCCCCCGCCCTGCCTGCAGCCAGCCCTGCACCCCCTGCCTACAGCCAGCCCCTGCCGCATCCTCTACCCTGTCTCCAGCCAACCCCAGCTGCACCCCCCTGTGGCCCTGCCCGAAGCCAGCCAGCCCCACACCTCCCCCTGCCCGCACCAGCCTTGCACCCTCTGCCCTGCCTGCATCCAATCCCGCACCCCCTGCCCTGCCTGCACCAGTCTTGCACCCCCTTCCCTGCCTGCAGCCAGACCCTACCTCCAGTCAGACCCTGCCCTGCCTCCAGTCAGCCCCATGTCCACTGGTGCTCTGCGGTTCCCAGGGCAGTAATCCTGCACACCTGCTTCAATGAGGGGGGCAGGGAGGAGCTGGGACCCACACATGTGCACACCACTAGAGTGACCAGACAGCAAGTGTGAAAAATTGGGACAGGGGGTGGGGGGTAATAGGATCCTATATAAGAAAAAGATCCAAAACTCGGGACTGTCCCTATAAAATCGGGACATCTGGTCACCCTAGCACACCCCAACTGTATTACCATGCATGTAATATGTGTTAATATGTTTTTCCTAGTCAAATTTGTAATGACCGACAAACACACAGAGAGACTGGAGGCCAAAGTGAGAAACATAAAATTGTATGGCTCCTCATTTCATTGCCTGAAACCGAGAAGCTGGATAAGTGATGAAGTACATTTAAGTAACACTAAACATGTATTTGTTAATGGGATTAATTCATCAAATATTATTGAAATTGTGCCTTTTCTTTCATCATGTGTTGTAGGTTATTGATGCATATTTGAGCTGTGTGGTCGAGAAAGCAGATGGAAAGGTAGACTACTTACTGTGATGGTACATGAAAGTATGCATTGATTCAGTAAGTAAACAATCACGTGACTATGTGGCACAACATACTGAAGACCAAATATCTTTGCAATATCAACATAAACCTGAAATTGCAACATTTCTGTGTATTTACTGCTGCCAAACATTTACTGAAATGTATTTGGAGGTGCATATCGGACATACAATAGAGGGCCACATTAGTTTTGCTGTACAGTTCAGTGGGTCCATTAATTGAACACAAGTATGCGAACAGCTTAGTTGGTTTTTACATTAAGTAAGACAGAGCACATTGATTACAAATCTTTTTTTTTTATAGAACTCTCTTATATATACATATCTGATTTGTAACACTAAGGATCCCTTGCATGTCTGTCTATATTAAATTCATTATGTTCTGAACGTGCCAGAATTATTAATGCATTCATAACTTTGCTGACTGTGAACAGGTACAAGCCATCTCATCAGTAGTTTCTACTTTCATTCTCTCAGACAGAGCTCCACAAATGAAAGCGAAGGTAAATGCTAACACACTTTCATACATAGCATGAGCAAAGCACAATTTCATTCAGTGAGTTAAACACAGTGTGAAACAGCAAATACAATGGTGTGTTTGATGTGGAGGAGTAGTCTAATAGCAATACATGTAATGAAACTGGGAAATACAGTATAATGTACATTTCATTGTTTGCTTCACTGGAAACTATAATTGCATTTCTAATTTTTTTTTAAATAAATACTTTGAATTACTTCAAAATGATATATTATTGTTTCCTTACCACACACCAGGTCATTGGGTTCTCGCGGTAAGATGTTTTGTATTGTAGTTCTGGATTATGGTCAATAAATGTTATAATAAATAAGAGATTTGTAACACAACTGTGGTAGCAGTGATATAATTTCCCGTGTCGCGGGTTTTCAGTGAGTTCAGTGCATGCAAATGAAAGTGGAATGTGAATGTTAAAAATAAAATGCTACTGTCAAGTTATGTTGTGAATGTAACTTGGAAGAATACATTCTGTAATGAATTGATCAATGATTTCACAATATGCTTTTCTCTTGTGTGTTACTGAGACATTACAAACGAGAATATGTTCATTGCAGAATGATTTTTGATAAATCATTATAAAATGTTTGAAATAATCACATTACCAATATAATTTGTGAATATATTAAATTCACAGATAGCCTCGATGAAAAAAAAAGGATTGTTAATAATTGACCCCTTGTGTGATGAGATGAGATATGAAAGAACATGCCTCAGGAATTGGAGGTGATTTATTAGATACTTACTTTTACAGTGGACATTAACTGTTCCATTGAAATTTTTTTTTAAAGGGAATGTAACAATTGTGAGACTAATATCTTCCTGTTAGCTACAAATAAAAATCGAAACAGCATGTACTTGTACTGAATATGCCTAGTAATGGACTTTGAGTGAACTTGTGTGATTTGACTCTGGGGAACGACTTAACAGAATGTGGACACGAAACAGTACCATGTTGCATGATTGAGAATGTGTTATTATCAACATGGGTCACAGCAAATCAGGTGATACATTGTGTAAGAGTGAGACAATAATATGAAAGCAAGTGTGTGTATATGTGAGCAATAAGTCATTTCGATCATTAATTAAAAAGAGAGAGAATGGATTTTTATCTATGTCCATAAACCAGAGGGGGAAAAAAGGGAAAGCAAAGCTCATTTATGCAGTCTGCTAATGTACTCTCTAAAACTTTCAGAAACTTCATCAAACGATTAACTAGAAAATCCTCATCTGATTGGAACAGTAACATTGTTCATCATCCCAGACAAAGTGATGGCCACAACTGCGGACCACTCATCTTAAAGGTATTGAATACCAAATTGCCATTATTATTTGTTATGTTTGTGTAATTATCCAGGGTGAAAGTAAATGCTGGAGATTACCAGTGGGCACTGCACCAGCGTCCTTGCCAAGGTGTGTGGGGTGGGCTTGTGGCCCCCAGAAGGGATGGGGTCTCCACCGGAAGGTGCGGTGCTGGGGGGCCAGATTCCACCAGCCAGCCCTTCCTCACAGCTGCTGCTGCAGTGGCCAGGAGAACCAGGCCCTTGTAAATCGCCGGAACCCAGGGCCCATTTTGCTCCAACACTGTCGGCAGCCCTGCCAGGAGCATCCAACAGCATTGCCAGACCCTATGGCAGGGCCGCTGATGCGGGGAGGCGGGGGAGGGTGCTAAAGGGGGCAGCGACGTTAAAGCATAAAGCACTACCACAGCGGAAGTGTAACGTCAGCCGTGTAAGGGCCGGTACCGGTGGCCGGGTCTTACCAGTATGCTGAACCGGCCCACTTTCACCTCTGGTAATTATGATGTTTATTCTAAATATCAGTGTTGTTAGTTTGCAGAAGCGTATTTGCAGTACAAAGACATCAGTATGGTAGAAACAACACAAGAGGCTAATACTGCGTTTAGAAGACATATAGCAATTCTTCTAATGAAGGAGTCAGGTAATTACTTTCTATCATGTACTGTTGTCTCATTAGGCACATGTGAAGATAACATGAAGAGTGGAATTATGTCACATAGCAGACAGTTATCTTAATACTCCTAAAGTGGGATATCTCACAGGTTTGGTTCTGTAATGGTGACTATGAATCAATAATATCTTTAAGTACACAAAAATATGAATCGGGTGAATGATTGCTATTGATCGGCCAGTTAAATGAAATTGGCATTTTTAGATACAGGTGCAGTAAACTTAAAAATTTGAGAAAATATGACTCTCAAAAAAGAAAAAGATACGTTCAAACCATTGACTGGATTAAAATATTGACATTAATTAATAAATGAAGATTTGCATTTTCAGTTTTGGTCATAACATATTCATCATTTCATAACGCTATATATATTTTTAAGAAAACATGGAAGACTGCTGCATATACTGCAACCTCGTCAACTGTGAAAAGGAAAGTGAGGATTGCACGATGGTAAGAAACGTAGAATTGTATGAGAAATAAATGCCCTAAACTGCCTAAGGATCATGATTCTTGTAAAAATTCCACATCAGTAAACATTTTCTTCATGCTGATAGGCATACATATGTTAGGTAATGCTGACATGTGGAAGGAATAGCATGAGTGAATGCAAAGTATGTGTAACATTATAACTTCTGTGATTTCATTTCTTAATTGTTACTTATCAAAGGTCCAGTGTGATTCTTGCAAGAGGTGGGCACATATGCCCTGCATTACAGAAGGAACCAATCAAGACTACCTGACTGATGAGAAGAAAGAGTACAACTGCAAAAAATGTGCATAGTTCACTTCTTTACCCTCAAAAAAATAAAAAATTCTTTAAATGCCTCTTGTTCAAAACATAATGCAACCAAAAAACATTTTTAATGTATATGCCAGATTATAATAATAAATGTTTTTTATTTTGAAAAATCATTCTCTGTATTTGTGTCCATGTGTATGATGCAAATTGTAAGAGTAAATTAAAAAAATGAAAGTGGTATCACCTTGGGCTCAGAGGTATGCTCCGTATCCCCAATCCTTACTTCCCTTTTCACGGATTCACACACAAAAAAGTGAAACAGCACGCCTCAATCATGCAATAGATCAATTTGGCACATTAGCCAGGAGGAAGCAGATAGTGCGTGTTTTTGACCACAAACCCCATCCCTCCCGTTTTGCAACCATCCCTGGACCAGTGACAGGTGCATGAGCAGCCAAGTCATTGGAAATAAGCAAGGAGGAAGCCAGTGGAAAAAACGAAAGGGGCCATTCTGGCCTCACCTTGGGCTCAGGGGCATGATCTGTACCCCCAAAGCTTACCTCCCTTTTCACGAATTCAATGAAAGGGGCCACTCTGGTCTCACCTTGGGCTCAGGGGCATGCTAGCCAGGAGGAAGCAGATCGATGAAAGGGGCCACTCTGGTATCACCTTGGGCTTAGGGGCATGCTCCTTACCCCCAAAGCTTACCTCCTCTGATTGGTAGAGGGAAGTGGGAGGAGTTCTTAAAGGGGTCACACGACGCACTTCCAGATGGCTCACCCTGTCCCAGAACTTGCCCTGATTGGTCAGATCTCCTCTCGGGGTGGTCCCCAGCAGCTGAAACCTGTCCTGATTGGTAGAGGATGGTGGGAGGAGTTCTTAGAGGGGTCACATGAGGCACCTTGCTTCTAGTCATGTGGCCGCCTTGACCCCGGAAGTAATACCCTCTGGGGTGGGACTTCCTGTGACAGGTGGGCAGGGTTTGAGGGGTCAAGGGGCAGGCTTGAGGGGTCAAGGGGCGGGGTTCGGGTTGGATTGACGGTAGGACCCTTATGTTACTAGCCTGCAGTTATATCACTTCAGAGCAAGATAACCTTTGGAAGATAAATAGTTTTCATGACTAGGTATGAAAACTATATGCTCACTATTTTTTGTCAAAAAAAATTGTATAATACTTTGAACACTAAATCATTTTTACAGGTCTTGTTGTTAAACATTTCCTGATAACTATGTCAGTAAAGCTATGTTGAAAGAATGGACATATCCATTTTTATTTCACAACATGTTGGTAATATAGCTGATCGTTGTACAATGTTCTGTAACTAATTCTGTAGAAACTTGTTTGAAAGAAAATTTAATAGAAATGCAGTTAAATACCAAACTACACATTACATTAGCAGTATTCCTTCTGTATATAGATGTTTCATTAAATTTCCAAAACACATTTCTGAGACTATTCATTACTAGAAGTTCACCTTGATCGATTGGTCCTTCAGCCCTCGTCTCGATTGCACCAATCACAACACGTCTTCCATTCTTCTTGTATCATGGCCTTCCTTCTCCATGTGCGGCCATGTCTTTTCATGGTAACATCTTCCCATCTCTTTGGAGTTTGGCCGAGTGCAGCTGCTAGTCCATCGATTGTCAGTGAGCCTCACTATATGCCCGACCTATCGCATTTTACTATGCCTGCTCTCAACAACGACGTTCAGCACTCCACTCTGCTGTCTGATCTCTTCATTGGGGACTCGGTCGTGGATTGAAATTCCCAGAATTCTTCTTTCCATCATCCTCTCTATGACAGACAGTTGCTGCTCCTCTGTCAGCACCCATGTTTCATTACCATACAACATTGCAGTACAGTAATTCCTCGCTTAACGTTGTAGTTATGTTCCTGAAAAATATGACTTTAAGCGAAACATTGTTAAGCAAAACCAATTTCTCCATAAGAATTAATATAAATGGGTGGGGTTAGGTTCCAGGGAAATTGTTTTCACCAGACAAAAAACTATATATATATACACACACACACACACACACCACATTTTAAACAAACACTTTAATACTGTACACAGCGATGACGATTGTGAAGCTTGGTTGAGGGGGGTGGAAGAGAGTGAGATATTTCCCCAGGGAATGCCTTACTGCTAAATGATGAACTAGCTTTTGGCTGAGCCTTCAAGGGTTAAAATGTTGTTAATGTAGCCTCACACTCTACAAGGCAGGACCAATGGGGGGAGACAGCATGGCAAACAGAGACACACACCCTGTGTGTGGGAGAGAGAGAGATGCACATTGCCCCTTTAAGTATGCTGACCCCACTCGTAAGTACATTGTCTTTTTAAGTCTATCGGGAGTTGAGACAGCAGCTGCTGCCCCAAGCTCTCTCTGTCTCTCTCCATCAGTGTCCCCACCCTGCTCTATATGGAGAAGGGGTAAGCGGGGTGCAGGAGCAGGGGAGAGGGGGAAACCCTGACATTAGCCCCCCCCTTGCACAGCAAGCAGGAGGCTCCCAAGAGCAGCTCCAAGGCAGAGGGCAGGAGCAGCACATGGCAGTGGGCGGAGGGACAGCTGAACTGCCCGCAATTGATAGCCTGCTGGGCAGCTGCTGCACAGGGAACTTAGGGGAGTGGGGAGCTGAAAGGGGGGGGGCTGCTGGTCCACCCAGATTCTAAGCCCCCAACAACTAGCTGCAACAGACTGCTCTTCCTGCAAGCAGTGGACAAAGCAGGCAGCTGCCAAATGACGTTATAAGGTGTCATAAGTTTCATCCCCACTCTGGACTTTAGAGTACAGATATGGGGGCCTGCATGTGAACCTCTAAACTGAATTACCAGCTTAGATCTGGTTTTGCTGCCACCACTCCCAAGTGCTAACTCCCTTCCTGGGTACCCTTGAGAGACTTCACCAATTCCCTGGTGAACACCGATCCAAACCCTTGGATCTTAAAACAAGGAGAAATTAACCATTCCCCCTCCTTTCCCCCCACCAATTCCTGGTGAGTCCAAATCCAACCCCCTTGGATCTTAAAATAAGGAAAAATCAATCAGGTTCTTAAAAAGAAGGCTTTTAATTAAAGAAAAGAAAGGTAAAAGAAAACCCTCTGGGAGAGATTAGCATACCAGCTACTCTCACAGACAACAGATTCAAAACACAGAGGATGTTTCCCTCGGCAAAAACTTAGTTATACAAAAAATACCCAATTTGATTATTCCCTAATGCCCAAGACAAGTTACAAAGAAAATAAACATAAACCTATTTATTTCCTTCACTAATACTCACTACTTGATAAGAGGCTGACTTCTGAAGCTTGCCCACTCCGGTCAAAACTTAAACTGAAACTAAACAAAGGAAACTTCCCTCCTTCCTTTTGAAACATCTTATCCCCCCATTGGTTGCTCTGGTCAGGTGTCAGCTAGGCTAGGTGAACTTCTTAACCCTTTACAGGTAAAAGAGGCATTAACCCTTAACTATCTGTTATGACATAAGGCAGCATGGCACAACTTTTAACGAGCGTGTTCTGTAATTGATCAGCAACGTAACAATGAAACACTGTTAACAGGGATGACCTTAAGTGAGGAGTTACTGTACTGTTTAGTTGAAGAGGCTGGCACGTGTTGCCTTGTTGATTTTTCCTTGGAGGACATCCTTGATAGAACCGAATGCACACCAATGTGCGTTCTTTCTTCGCGAGAGTTCAGCTTCCTGATCGTGGCGCATGTTAATTCCTTGGCCCAAATAGACATATTGCTCAACTTCTATTTGTTCTCCCTTCATTGTTATTTGGGCTTTTGGCAAGGTATCAGATCGTATAAATTTTGTTTTGAAGTGGTTAATTTTCAGTCCGACTTGACTGCTTTTTGTGTTGAGTTCTCGCAGCATTTTCTGTAGTTTGATAGTATTTTTGGCAATCAACACAATATAGCCCACGAATCCAAGATGGTAAAACTGCTCTCTGTTGATGTTGATTCCACCCTTCCAATTCATCTGCCTCATTACTATTTCGAGGCAGGCTGTGAAGAGTTTTGGTGAAACCATGTCGCCTTGTTTCACACAGTTCTTAACTGGGATGGGGAGTATCAAATAAGGTTGTATCAGTTGTGCCGCCAATTTGCTTCCTTTAATAGTTTGATATAGTTTGTGTCGATGCCCTGCTCTGCAAGAGCATTCAACACTGTATTGATCTCTATGCTGTCCAATGCTTTTTTATAGTCGACAAAGGCAATACATAAGGGGAATATAGTGAAAATAGGGTCCATGTGCTGAAATTCCTCCAAAAACCTGCCTGTTCTCTGGGCTGTTGCTCGTCCAGACTCTGTGAGAGTCGGTTTGTTATTATTTTGGTGAACAGCTTGTAGACATGTGAGAGCAGGCATATTGGACAATAGTTCTTTAGATCTTCACGATCACCTCTTGTACAGCAGAATGGTGTTGGACTCCTTCCAGTTAGATGGTATCTTCTGCCTTTCCAAGTAACGGCTAAAGCTCTGAGCAAGGGTTTCTCAGAGGTCTTGCCTCCAGCTCTTATCATTTCGACTTCTCAGTCCATCTTTACCTGAGGCTATTAATAGAATGTACTGTAAATATAACAAAGTTTAATGGACAAAGGATGACATACAAGTGGATGATTAAGTCCACAGTAGAATGTCTACAAGCCTAGCTGCATTTCAATAAAAATGGGAATTCCACCTTGTTCATCATAATGCACTTGAGTTTGGGATAAATCATTCCAAATAAACTCTGCGTTAAAAAAATGTATTCATCACTTCAAAAGGCCTTAGTGGGCTCAATCTAGCAGCCCACCGCAGTGCAGTGGAACATATAAAGGGTCACATCAGCCGAATCAATTAAAATCAATAATTGTCCAACTGAGTAGAAATGACTTTTCCCAAAGCAGTGCTGATCATGTTTCCCTATCCAGGCCATATATTAGAAAAATCAGATCGGCTATGACACTAATATTAACACTGTAAGACTGTAACTTGCATAATATATATAGATGATTTCATTTTTTCTTTGTATCTTCTACTTTTTACAGTCTCTCTTCTTCAGTTGT